AGGCTAGCGAGCCAGCGTCTTACCCACTTAGCCACCGAGACCCCCACCCACCTCATAAGTGGACTATAGACGAAAAGTAATGAAGCCTTAAAAGGTCGATCGGGGGTTGGATGGCCGAATGGTTAGCACGTGCGCGCTGTATCATAAAGTCTGTCACTGAGTCAACTGGCGTGGTTTCGAATCCCCGGTTGTACGTGACAAGGAGTAGGATCGCCTGTCCAACCTCGTAGGTTTTCTCCGGGTCCTCCGGTTTCCTCCCACTGCTAAAGATCCCCACGCGCAAGCGAATTATTGAAATAAAATTTTAAAAACATATGTTAGTCCCGAAATGACCTAGTTTGTGTCGAGTGGACGTTAAACCCCATTTTTACAATAAATTTATAGTATTAAAACATGCAGTGGTATTTTTACAGCGTTATGTTAAAGAAATTACATATTTTTCACTGTAATTTAACATTTATTTTTAACAGAGTGGTAATGTCTAGGTGACCGATATTTCAATGCAGGGGTAACAATGTGAATCATAGTTTAATCATACGCCTATGTAGTCTTGGTGAAATATATTTAAGTCTTGGCGAATTATATTTAAGTCTTGGCGAATTATATTTAAGTCTTGGCGAATTATATTTAAGTCTTGGCGAATTATTGTATATTTAAAACGTGTGGGTCTATGTGAATCCTGAAACTATGTGGATCTGTGACATGTGTGAGGTTTTGTAAATCTTTAAGGATTTGTGTTATGTTTTAAATAGTTAAAAAATGCTACGCGATTTGGATGGTGGATTTCGGACGGTGAATTAATCTGAACGTTGGCCAGGTGGTTCGACCAAATTAAAGGGACAGTGTGTTAGATGGCAAAATGAACTGTAACTTTAAATCGTTGAATTTTATGTACAAATCTCTAAAATTGTATATATAAATTGATTATAACAATATACATATTAAATTAATTAGTTGTGTTTTTTGTTGGAAATTGGGAAAAGGGGCAATTATTAAGCTAAAGAACCTGAGGTCACTTCGTGACAGTCCAGCAGGCATCCTTAAATCTTTTCGAGCGAATAAATCAAAACAAGATCAAAATGGCATGAAATGTATATTTTATACCGAACATGAAATGGAATGGGGCTTACTTTTCTCCAGCAACCGGCATATTGAAGACGAGCGTATGCAGTGCTTTGAAGGAAAGGAAATGAATTGATATGGGGTTTAACGTCCTACTGTTCTGCTCTGACTGGGATAATGAAGACGGATGTGCTTTGAAGGATATTATTGCCGGAGTGCAGCGCTATATACGACCTATTATTATTTCGATTTTCAACGGCCAGGTAAACGTACTGCCAATGGTATACATGTATCTTCCCTGATAATTTAAAAATTTGAGTAATATTTTATACTCCTAAATTGTTCTGAGCGTGTATGCCGGAATGCCTGTGTAGGCATGCCTGACCTACCGCCTTCAAGGTTAAAGTAAGTGGCCTCATAACTTCACTAGCACATTTGTCTTAAATCCGACACTGGCTATGGGAGTAATTTTACTCGAACAGTGGTGTTTCCGTCTACTTTTCATCGAATGGTTCTTTTAAGTGCACCCGAACGTGTACTCCGGACCTTAGATTTCCATCCCATCCGAAGGACCAGATGCTTTTCATTTCCAGGCCCTCCGTCCTTCACCACTGACGAGTGGAAAACAAACTAGAAAATACTGGGGAACTTTCTTGGTCAACATCGGTACCGTGCCCCCCCCCCCCCCAATTACATTCTAATAACGATGTGTATAACATGTCAGATCATCAAGGCGGGTTCCGTCAATTACATTAAAGGGGCATTATGGAATGTCAGATAAAGAGTTGGCAGTTAATGTAAAGGGAATAAGCCGAATATTTCATTCAAATTACTCCACTTTGAACCGAGATATTAGCGATTGAATTTTTGACATAGCCTCGGTCATTATTACGAAAGTCGGTACACTGTAACAAAAATTTCCGTGAAAAAACGTAAAAAATTCCGGAAACAAAAATTACCAGGAAAATTTTATCCGTATTTGTTTTTCCTGTAATTTACAGAAATTCCCTCAATTAACATAAATTCCATTTTCAAATACAGAAAAAAAAATCCTGACCATGCGTGCGTGAATTAGCTTTATTTAACGTCCGCTTCCACCGAAGTGATATCGCAGATGAGCTTTAAACGTAACCTCTTTTCGCTAATATATATAAGAATCGAGAGCAAGGTATCACAAACCTCTACTCGTCAGTGGTTGGAGGCTTTCAGATGTAAGTTTTCGGTATTATCAATTCGCAGGTATGTTGACTCTGCCATAGAGACAAACCGACTTACACTGGCCAACCGGTTGCACTATCCGGATTTAAGCGTGCATGATTACCAGATATTACAACCTTAACACACGCAGCATTAAAACATATTTTTACATATCTATGAAAATACTTACAATCTGATTTCCGTATGATGAATAACAATACACTTTATAGATCTTATAAATAATGGAAATTAGATATACACGTCAATTAATATACCAAACGTTACAAAATATGATTCTTCATATTATGGTTAATAAATTGAAATGAATACTATAACATGATGATTATTAGGAATCATTATATATGTATACTATTACTTATCGTTGCACCGTTTATCCCGTAAAATAACAGAATTAAGTCCATTATAGAAGGGAATAAAACATTTTATCCCTAAATTTCACGGAACTTCCTTGTCATTCCACCGTTTATTCCGTAAAATAACAGAATTAAGTCCATTATAGAAGGGAATAAAACATTTTATCCCTAAATTTCACGGAAATTTCCTGTCTAATACTGAATAATCCACAGAAATACATAAAATACGTAATTTGAAGAAATAATTCACACTATTAACACAAGTTCTCCAAAAAATCCATCGATTAACAGAAAAAAGGTGTTAAATTACGGAATTCGGCCACATAAAAAATGGATATTTTTTACAGTGTACGATAAAAAAAAGTCATGATTATCCATTTCTTGATTTAATCATCAGTGAGCATTGATCAGCAGATCAGATTAAAATCCAGTGAAAATCCAAAACATAAGATGGCACCGAGAGTTGATTAAGGTCATGTTATTAAATGTCTAATTAATAGTTTATATAACATTTCAGGCCTAAAGAAAGATCTGCAAAAGACAGATTGAGCTCTTGCATAATGTATGTTTAATTTTGATCCGATTTTGATGACACTTTAAATTTATGTTTAGATCACAAAGATCTTGGCTCCTTTCGATAATCGCGCATATCCGAACGTAATGTCTTGGTTTATGGCCCCTGATTGTTCGAAACAACGCATTTTTAGCTTGTGGACCCGCTATAAGTCATAATTTGTATTCAATTTTAAAAAACGTTTAAATATATCACCGTTACACCATAATGATGGTTGAGTTCGAATTTCGGAAAAATCAGATCGAAACTGCCCAACAAAATGACCGCTCCTTGTACGCAAATAGTGTAAAATTATGTAATACCTAGGTTGTATCCCTCTAGAAGTCATAATGTTTATCTGATTTTGATGAAACTTAAAATATGTTTATATCCAGAAGATCTAGGTAGATATTCACGGATATCGGACCGCAACTTCCTGGATTATAGCCCCTGATTGTACGGATAATATCTCTCCTTTTTTTAGCTTGTTCTCTGTCCATCACTTGCAAAATGTTGGCGTACCTTGCAAGGCAACCGCTTGTTTATATTTAAAATCCTTTTTAGGGGTACCAAATTGACATGAAATAACAAATTGTAACTCTAGCTAAATTTATCTTAAATATTATACCTTAGATAAAAAAAAAATAGCAATATTTATGATACATTTATAATGGTGGGTGATCAAAATCTCTTCTGTAACTAGTTGTATTAATAGCACAGCTATTTCAACTCTAATATTATAGATACGTGTATCACCGTCTATAAATACATCACTTTATATCTGGGGATATACACAATATCAAATGAGCAGGACCGTATTTACAAAATGTACAGAATAACTTATTTGGAATGCCTAGCAGTTTCCGACAAGACTTAATAAATACCTACCTAAAAAAAAATGACCACATGGCTACACTGAAACGGAATAAAGGATATAATGTTATAATATATACTGCTATGCGTGTGTATTTTACCTTTTCTTATTATCCCTGAGCGTTACCACTTTGGTTTTAAGAGTATAATCTCCTAAATATTAATATTCAATATGTAATAAGTAGTGTATAAGTTTAGGAATGTGTAAGCTTTATGTTATGAATAGCATTGTAGACGATGTCAAACTAATAAAGGATATTTCTTTAAAATCATGAAAAGGTTCTATTGCACAGTATTGTTTTATATACTAATCTCCGGGTTGTTGTACCTCTCAAGAACTAAGATAACCCAATATAACAATAAGAACCATTTACACAGACTTAACCAGTTTTATTAACAAATATATCTGGAATGATTTCTTTAAGGCAACATATTACGCATTATTCATTTTTTTTATATATATATTGATGTAGGACTCTTTAAAAGCGATGCATGGTTGCTACCACCAACCTATGGGGGGTAGGATGGATGAATGGTCAGCGTGTGCGCGCTGTATCATAAAGTCTGTCATTGAGTCGACTATCGTGGTTTCGAATCCGCGGTTGTACGTGGCAAGGAGTAGGGTCGCCTGTCCAACCTCGTGGGTTTTCTCCAGGTCCTCCCACTGCTAAAGACCCCTACGCGCAAGCGAATTATGTAAATAAAATTAAACCATATGTTAGTCCCGAAATGACCTAGTTTGTGTCGACGTGGACGTTAAACCCCATTTCTCTCTCTCTCTCTCCACCAACCTATATATCTTTCGTAGATCCAATTACACTTGATATGCTCGTTACATGCACATGCTTTATGTTTGAAGAAGGTGAGGCTATTTCTATCCCACAAGTAGCTAAAAATGCCGACAAATAAAAGTATTTGGGCGGGATATTTGCGTGGATTCAACGAGTCTCGTCTAACGAACCTAGTGTTTGTCGTAAACACACAGCGAGTGAATGCATGACGCGTGCTTAGTATTGAAAAATTGGCGTCATACTCCGGTAAAACGGTAACGGTACTGGATCAAGGTTCAGAGACGTCAGGTAGTTTTACTTTCCTTCCACACTCGGAACGTAATTATCAGTGTAACTAGGTCAGTTTACTATATACCGTTATAGTTATAGCCTCGTGTGATTATTGTAGTACCGTTTTACAGAGCGAGCCATGTGTTGGCAGGTATAACTACGTGTACTGTTTTATTATACCCTGGTTTAATCACTTACAACACACAGTCTAGAATCAGTAGGATATATATACCAGGGATATAGGAATAGTAGAAGATGGAAGCAGATACCTGATTTAGCTTCAACTAACTGTCTTAGCCCGAGTCGAGACCACTAATACTTGTCCCATGAACAGTTCTTATGTTGTATCTCTGTAGGTGCACGTAGCTAATACATAGTTTTCAAAATGTGTTTGGATCCTTACGATAAAAGTGGGGCTCGTGTAGCTAAAAGAAGTTACCACGATTGGATTTTACCTGTGAAAGCTGTTCTTGGAATCTTTATATTTGGATGCATTTTTCTTTTCATCGGAATCGTGTTGCTAGTCGTCGGTGGCGCTAAGGACCCAGGGTGAGTAAGCTTTGTTATTGTGTGAACATTTTATATTAAAAATCAATAAATAGAATGACAAGGTTATGACTCCTTGATATCACAACACCTACTTAAGGTTTACTGCAGCAACATCCCTTTACATGGACTTGAACCTAAAACACCATGTACTTGAACGTTTGTGTTTGACAGCCACTTCACGCGACTTATTTTACTTGATGAAGTGTTGGGCTTTATTTCACACGTAGCAGTTAACGCGCCAATAATTTTAATTTTTTCTTTTCTTGTTTGAAATCATATATTATAGCAGCTCAGTCTATTCTTAACCCCACTGTATACCATATCCGTGAGAAGATTTGATAGTATAAAACAATCATTGTGTATAGCTTAATAATTTCCTTGCATATTCTGTACGTTATGCAATTTAAGGTGATTTAAAAGAAAATATTGAACTCACACCTTTGACCCAATTAAACTCTCTACAATATTTAGAAGGGCTTTTCATTATATTCATTCCCGACTCTAGATCTGCACATGTAATTATTCTAGTCAACACCATACATTCATATTTCCTTGTATATACTATTTTGTATCTCAAACAAAAACACCCCAAAACAATAGAAATTTCACGTAACTTCTGCCTAGCACAGGTTGACCCTTCTGTAAGTGAATAAAATTAGGACCAGAGTTTGTCATCTATAGCGAGAAATAATAGATGATTGCCAATTCATTGTTGCCTTATTAAAAGATGTGCATTTGCTACAGCATGTTTGTTTGTTTCAGTTTTACCCTGGGTCACGTTCAGACAGATCCGATCATTATCATTATCTTCTATAGACTGAGTTATTATTGATTGGCACATAAATAAATGTTTACTTTTAAACCAACTAGCCACTATATAAATAGCAAACAGCCATTGAGTACAACACATACAATTCAAATTTGAAACGGTACATTTTAAATAAAAGAAACACAAGAGTTCAAAAATAACGGAAATAATTGAGTTTAAGAGATTACATTTCAATCAGTTGGATAATATCCGACTACTTATGGCGACACCAACATCGATCATGTGAAAGTGTCTAGTCGAGACACGATTATCGGATTTTTGTTATTGATAATTTTAACTCAGTTTTCATCACCTTTTAATCCTATCACACTGACATGGAATTCCTATTTCCTTTCCTGGTTTCTAAAGGATAAAACAACCTATATAATAGTCATCTGGATTTTTAAAAGCAGGATTAGGATTTGAGGTAGTGATCCACGTTCCCCTGCACCAACATAAGATTTGATCAATTCATATTTGCCTTCAGTAAAATCTTTGTAGATTCCTGTATAACTTATTACAGTTCATAATCAGCGATGCGTATCTCTTAGTATTTCAACCTTTCTTCATGCCTTATAAATGTATACACAAAACGCTTGAGTGTGTGGGAAATGAAATTAGCAATAACTGTATGATCATGACTTCATACCATTAAAGTACGTATATATTGTAGGCTAATTCAATATACTATTGATATATATGTTTTATATCAAATCAAATCATATATAAAACCCTGAAGTAAGCATATTGAAGAGATTTTTATATCAATAAGCCAAGTAGCTCGTTTAGCACAATAATAGTTCTATTCTTTACAACATGACAAGATTCTATTCACCATTATCAATATAACATAGTAATCAATCAAACATATGACGCATAACGATTTCAAAGTTGATTCATATAGTGCCCATAAGGCATTGTGCTACCACACTAGTTTTGTTAGGGCAGTTTCAGATTATTCCTCTCCATTCTCCATGTTCTAGGGTTCTTTTTGACAAACAATGAAAAAATAATCATTAGTTTTATTGTTTTAATATTAATAGTCAATATAATTCATAGTTTTGACTATAAACCTACAATGAAGACATTATTCCATATATTCACATATTTTTAGTTTAAAGAAACCGGTATGTATAAGTTCTTCAATGCTATAAGTACATCGTTTTAACGAAAATATTTCTTTTTCGTAATTTAATTGATTCATTAATAACCGTGCATATTAAATGGATGTTTTATTTATATTACCCAAAGTCAAGTTTCGGAGATTGATTAATGCTTAGTGGTGAATCAAATTAGGTTATTGCAATCTAATCTGTCCAAATAATTGGAAGAATTAATTGGAAAATCTTGAGACAAGATATTTTTTATGCTTTACTTTGAAATCGTGCTCGATGCTTAGACGTTCTAACTTTAAACATACATTAAACAAGAGCTAAATCTGCCTATTGCAGGTCTTCCTTTAGGCCGGGGGTGGGGGTGGGGGTGGGGGTGGGGTGGATGGCCGAATGGTTAGCATGTGCGCGCTTATCATAAGGACTGTCATTGAGTCAACTGGCGTGGTTTCGAATCCCCGGTTGTACGTGACAAGAAGGTCGCCTGTCCAACCTCGTGGGTTTTCTCCGGGTCCTCTGGTTTCCTCCCACTGCTAAAGACCCCTACGCGCAAGCAAATTATTGAAATAAAATTAAACCATATGTTAGTCCCGAAATGACATAGTTTGTGTCGAGTGGGCGCTAAACCACATTTCTCTCTCTCTTTCCTTTAAGCCTGAAACGTTATATAAACTATTAGACATTTATTAACATGAAAACCCCTTAATCAACTCTCGATGCCATCTTGACTTATGTGTCGGATTGTCACTGGATTTGAATTCGATATGCTGCTAAACGCTCATTGATGATTAAATCCAAAAGTGGATAATCGAAACTATGTTTTTTATCGTACCGACTTTAGTGATGATGATCGAGACTAGGCTTAACATTCAATGGCTAATATCTCAGTTCAGAGTGGAGCAATTTGACTAAAATTTTCAGCACATTCCCTTTACAATATCTAGTTTTTAACTATTATAGTGAGAACTGTCAGCTTCTTATCTAATCTTCCGTAACGCCCCTTTAAGTCATTGCTAGAATGATGTGCTTTCAACAGTCTTGACGTCGAACACTTTAAAGTGTTCCAATCATTCCGAAACTGGGTGGTACAGCTTCGAACAAATCACGCCAGTTATTCATCCTATTACACAAACAGAACCATAGTTTTCACTCGCTAGTCTGTACACCAAAGACCTATATATCATACTAGCGTTGATTGATATACTATTGATTTAGTATAGGTATTAAAACCAGGTGGTATTGCCACAAGGTCATTTTGTTTTGGAACGATCTGTCAAAATCAGTTTTCTTGACACGTTGCAGCTTTAAATAACGATGAGTACCGAAGAGCTACTCATTCAGTTGGAATAACATAGTGTTATTTGGAAATAAGATACCTTCGCGGAATATTGAAAATTACAGGTGTGTTCGGGTGTTCTGAATATGTTCAGATTTCCTTTCTCTGATAAAGATTATAATGCATACATAGATCACTCGAAGCTTTCATTAATACATGTTTCAGAAGTAATAAAAATGTGCTATTTTAATGTTAAGACTCTTGTTATTATTTAAATAAGCACACCTGAATATAAAAAAAAATCCACGAAGAACACTTATTTGTCTAAAACTCTTACAGATGGCGCGTGAAATCAATAAATATTATATACCAAACCTACGTTAGCATTGGATCAAAATGTTTGGGGCCTGAGTTCGTTTTATTGGGTTGGGTGGTGGGGATACTTTTGATTGTTTATGTTTTCAAACTCTGTATTTAAAGTAGCTAAGTCTTTAACTCGGTATCATCCAAAGACTTTAACATTGAAAACACGAATTATTTCTCGGGAAGAGACGGGCTTCTCATATCCAATATTTAAGACAAAATAAACATTTTACAATTGGTACCATAATGCGTTTCAGTGACATTTGTAACTGATTTTGAAACCGAGAACCCCGGGATTTTAAAGGCCTAAGATTTGGCTTTCATGCGAAAAGCTTGCGAAGTTGTTAAACTCATTTATCACCCAATAATACATTCTACAGTAGATATCGCTTGTGTGATATATTTCATAATCTACTGCGATATCTCCTTAGAAGATATCGCTTTACATGAATTTGATTGGTCAGTTGAAAAGGAACTACTTTTTTTTTCAAAGAACAGTTCATTTCTTATTAAAAGTAACTTTTTTAAAATTAAAAATGAACTATTGTTATTCAATTGACCTTGATGGAAACACTTGGTCAATATAAAGGACTTTGCAATGGTTGAATTGCTGTCAAAAAATGATGTATCACTATTGCTCAGTTGAAAAGGAACTACTTTTTTTCATTTTCAAAGAACAGTTCATTTCTTATTAAAAGTATTTTTTTTTAATTAAAAATGAACTATTGTTATTCAATTGACCTTGATGGAAACACTGGGTCAATATAAAGGACTTTGCAATGGTTGAATTGCTGTCAAAAAATGATGTATCACTACGCCGTAATGTTCAGTAAAAGTGAAATCTACAGCAAAGAATTATATTTATCTAGTTGTGCATGTAAGGGATTGGGTGATAAATAAAATCTCCTACTCGTCTTACTGGTAGGAGATTCTCTATGTTTCTTGGTGCAATCAAACGAAAACAAATGTCGGTAAAAAGTATGACAAGTCACAATTAGTGACCCTAAATTTAAAACCAATCATGAATTTCGTTTATCCTTAAAAAATGACATTAAAAACAATTAAGATATATTGAAAGAACGATCCCTTTCAAATAAAAAAAATGATGAAAAATGGGCTATGCGTTTCTTTTTTTGAAGAGTATATTTACATTGGAAAGACAGAATTCACAATTTTTACGAGGAAATATTATTTGCTTTTAAAATAACAGAATTTACAACCGGGCAGGCTTAGCTGTTATACAATTAAAGAAATCTCAATTATTGATATTCTTTTTAAAAATCATTCTAACACAATATGTATTGTAATGAATATTATACCCAATTGTACGGTTATTACATCGTTCAACATCTTGATCTTCCATCATCATCATCATCATCATCATTCAAGACAATGTGACAAGTAATTTTAAGAATTAGCTGATACTAGCATTATCTACCTA